TCTAAATATTGCAAAAAGTCATGAGTAGGAAAAGTAAAGAAGAGGCAAAGCATGTGAGCTATACAGTATTACTGGGAGAAATAAAGAAATCGGTACCGGGAGAAGGAGGGCCCAGCTAAGTGCACAGCTTTAACAGGAAAACTGGGCACACATTACCCACCCCAGTGCAAAAAGCCCTTCCTTCTCTGCAGGGCTCCACCAGGCATATCTACTAACTCAGACTAATTCCCTGCGTAGATTGAGCTGGCTTTGGCACAAAACCATCCTCAGAACAATCGTATCCCTTCCAGCGGTTCCTCAGTTACAGCCAGCCCAGGTAGAAACACTTGAGTGATGAACTGAAGCCCTTGGCTGCAGTATCCTTATCTGACTTGCATGTAGAAGGGGAGAAACAAAGCAGTAAGCTAGCATCAGGGACAAATGAAGTTTTATTGAAGAGTAAATTGCAGTGGCAGCAATTTTTAAAATATCAACAAGCTGGCTATTTTAAATTTTAAAATCTTAGCCCATTTAAAAGGGCTGGCATTTTCTCAGAATTCTAGAAAATATCTTGAGCATTTTTAAGTGTTTTTGTACTTGCTCTTCTTTTTCCACTGGAACCTTCTTTGTTTGGCCTTAAAAAAACACATCAGCACAAACAATTTACAGAATTGGAATATTTAACTTCTGTGCCCTCTGCTGGCTCTGGAAACAGTGGCTCTTAAATCATCATCTTTCATGATGCCTGTTACTTTTTCATAGTCATTTGGGACAAGTGATACAGTTTAAAAAACAAACAAACAAAAAAAACCCAAAGAAGTCCTACACCTTGATGTATCTGTTAAAGATAACAAGGGAGGAGTAGTCACTACAGGTATTTTTACATCAAATTCTGTTAGTCTGTGGGTTTATTTGAAACAGTGATTTCATGCCTTCTGGTTATTTTTTAACATTTTATATGCACAGTTTATAATATAGTACAAGCACTATATGTATTTTAATCAATTGAATCCTTGGTCTAGCCATAAATGATGCAGAATATATTAGTACTTCTTCACACAGTTAAAATGAAGATTGAACATCTTAAGCTAGGTTGTGCACATTGCTTGTTCAGCACTTGACCGAGTTAATGTTTGGGATCACAGGTGAGGAGTTCAAGGAAAAACTGAAACTAGAAGAGGAAAAAAGAGCTGCTGATGAAAAGTACAGATACAAACGAAAGCAGATCAAAGAACTTCAGGAAAACCTCCAGGTGAGGTACAAGCAGGAGTTCCAGCTGAATAGACAAGGCTATAACATATCCCTTAACCCACACCAACCGTCTCATTGAAAGAACAGGAAATTCTGTGACAAATCTTCCCCCATTCCTTTTTACATCCCATACTTTGCAAAAGTGGATGCAATTTTTAGAAGGCTGTATGTCTCCTGTCAAAGCGATTTGAGTGCTTGTGATTCCCTGAGTCATAATGCACCTTCAGGCTTTTTAGTCACATACAATTTTAAGGTTAAAAATCCCACAGGCACATGGGGAAAATTCTCCTCTGTTCCGGCATCCAGCTGCAAAAATGCTTATAAATTCTGCATACTCATTTGATAAAAAGAATGGAGGCAGTTGTAATCCTGTGTAGCATAATGTATTAGTGTCTAGTATTGCAGGATTAAAATTCATATGTCCTAGAAATGTCCCCTGGTGTCTAAGTCCCCAGATGTTCTAGGACATGATTTCCTGTTTTGCATGTTAAAGGTGCTGCAGCTGGTGGAAACAGTGTTAGCTTACCCAGAGAAAGCTGGCTAACTAATTTAGTGCACTAAGCACTGACACAAGGAAAGCACAATCTGTATTCAGCCCCCACATTTAGTATTTACTCTTCACTCTTTTTGCCATTAATACACAAACACAGAGCCCTGAAGAAAGAGCAACGTTGATCTGTGAGGTGGGACATTTTACTTAAAATTTCCTTAGGTTAAAGGAAGCAAAAGGCACCCTTTTATATTCTAGATCAATGTTCAATATTTGATTAAGGTAAGCAAACATTTCTATTGCCTGTTCTAAACACAGGACATAGATCTTACTCAAGAAAAATATTACATTTGAGACTAATGAACAAGGACACACGTTTCCATCATGCAGCAAGTCCTAGGAAGTCATGAGGTTTTAGGACATGCTTTTATTATGGAGATCATTTTACTCACTTAAACTTAAGGTATGCATCTCATCCCACAGGAGATGGCAATAAGTAACATACATGTTATTTTTAGAAGGACAGCTTGCACTGGTCAGTTAACCCCTAAAATACTGAGGGCTTTACCATGTATAACCCTTGCTGACACAGCACACAGTAGTGTATGCTTTCAGAAGAGCTTAACTTCATTGTCACTACTCTGAAAGGCAAATTTTTAATATGGGTAAACCAGTGGTCTCTCTACTTGGGTATTTATATATTAAACACTTCATCTGATAGTACGAGTTGCATAATTATTAATACTAACTGCATGAGGTACCTTTAAAAGCAAGTAGCAGCAGTACGAGATCCCTTCAGATTTTATAATCACTTGGTGGTAGGATATCAGAACTGTTTTATAAACTTAAATTCTTTGATATGAATTTGTAGAGCATGGAAAAAGGTCTTGATATGATACTGAAGCAGGAGGCCCTTTACCAAGAGCAAAAAAACAAAAAAGAAGCTATTATTTTGCAACTGAATAAAGAAATAGAAGAACAGAAGCCAAAGCTAGAACGGGTGATAAAACAGGTTGGTATACTATTAATGATAAACTCCAAATGTATCGTGATAGAAAGCAGTAGGGTTAAAATTAGAGAATGTATACTTAGTAAGCTTCTGAAGAATAACATTTCTGCAGTAGCACATTTTTAACAAATATTTTCAAGTGTTCCAGACTATCCAAAGAAATTCAGTCTCTAAAGAAAACTAAAACAGAAACACAAGAAGAAAGAGACATTGATCTTCGTGAACTGAAAGACTTCAGCAGAACCATTGACAAGCTGTTAGCTGATATTCTAGAAGCAAATCCTGATTTAACCACACCCTTTCAAATGTACTTTCACCAGGTTAGTTTTCTAGTTGACTGCTGCTAAAATTTGGATTCATAGTTCAGAGCTACTGATGAGTGTCCTTCAAAGGCAACTCAATTCTGTTATAAAGTATGTTTATGGTAAAAGAACTCATTCATCTGCGTTTTTTTTCTCCCGATATACCGAGTTCTATTACACAATCCTAAAGTCAGAGTGTTTTTCTCTCTCTCAATTTTCTAGTCCAATTTAGAACTTCCTACAATTTCCTCTGTTGGTGGTAGTCGAAGTTCTAGTTCGCCATCATCACGCAGCTCTCTGGCCTCCAGCAAGTAAGTGCTTTATATATAAAGCTTTTCTTGATAACTGCCCCTAATGAGTACCTAGAATATGAAACCTTTCCCATCTTCAAAGGACATCCTTACAATATTGCTTTTAGCACATTGAATCAATTATGATCTAACAAGATTCCCATAGGTCTACTGCAGAAATCCATCATGTCTCTAGAATAAACACTCTTGCCAAGTAGCTTCATGGTAAACACCCTTTAGGAGAAGCTCTACTCTACATGTAGGTGTATTTGGTATTCTGAGCAACGGGCTTTTGTCTTTCAGATCCTCCAGAAGCACAAGTTCATCTTCTAGTCAGACTTCAGCACTTAAAGTCATAGATCTGAGTTTTTTGGTCAACACTTCCGCCGGAACATCTGCCAATGGTTCACAACCACCCAGAAAAAAATCTTAAATATTCTTTTCAAGTTGTAGTAAAGGCCTTTTACTAGTCAAGGCTTCTGAACTGGTTAAGCTGCACCTTTATTTAGCAAGATTTAATGGCAGCTAGAATCTTAGCACTAATTTCTACCAGAAATATGTTTTACCTTCTTATTAAAGCTTGCAATAAATTATATACTATCAGTTTTTAAGTGTATTTTGTGTTTTGCATAGTATCTTAATGGAGAGATGATAATGAAAGATTAAAATCAGTAGAACTATACTTTTCCTATCCAATTTATATATAGCCTGTTGCCAAAAAGGTACTATGTTAGGAATTATTTTGAAAACTTGCTAATGAGATTCCAACCAATACTGCATAATCAGCTGGTCAGTTCTGTCTGCTCTGCCAATCATTCTGGAATCATTCTAAATAGGGAAAACTTCTTTTACAGCAACCATTGCCTTTAAGCTACTGCAACGCAAATCCATAACAACATTAAAAAAAAAAAAGTCCACACTTGAATGCTTGAGAAGAGTAAGCGCTGTTTGAAAGCACCCCCTGCTTCTACCTTGACTTTATTATACACATTACCTAAAGAATGCATTTGAAGCATTTAATAAACCTAATACACCTGTCTGCTCACAGACACTGACAGGTTGAACTCACTTAAATTATAAAGCACTCTGAAGTGCCCCTAGAGAAGGTAGTATATGCAGTAGGTAAATAACAAATGCCCCCCCCTTTGGCAGTATCAATACAGCAGTGACTTCAAAACAAAAACTAAGACACAAAACTAGTAAGATTTAATGATCAAATAAGCTATATACATTGAGGGCACCTCAGCTCCATTGAGTTAACCCTTTTGTAGAGCTGGAGGTCAGGTTTAATACAAAAATAGTTAACAGTCAGTAGTACCCCTAAGAAAGAAGGAATCCTGTCATTAAAGTGCATATATGATGCGAGTCACACAACTTATTACAGTTTAAGGGCATCAAAAGATTAAAATTTCACCTAGTCACACCAAGAATGTTGTACAGGAACATCCCAAGAACACAAGGAACTTTGATTTAAATAAGAACTCATATTTAATGTGAGATATCCTTGCATCTCTTTTTCCACCATACAATCTCTTTACCTTAAAGAATATTTGCCACACATTCTGCACAACAGAACAGATTCCGCTTTATTATCACTTTTCATATGCATTTAAAGGGCATATATTTTTCTTAACAGATACCTGAAAATAATTTATTTAATCCAGCATAATACCATTTTCTTAGGTATTTTGCTGGTTCTTCTGCTTACTTCCTTTTTCCCTCTCAAATTCAGCAATTTGATTGAATATTTTAAGCAAGTTCTGGGGCAGGTTTCTTTTAACGCCACTTTCTGATTGTTCTTGACCACTTAGAGCAGTTTCCTCGTCCACTTCCTTTGCTGTGCTACTAGTCTCCTCAGTCTCCTCATCACTTCTTTCTCTATGTTTATACTCTCTCCTTTCATCTTTATGCCTATCACTATCATAGCTTTTATTACTTTCATGTAAACAAGTGCTAGAATACGATTTGTATCTTCCCACTGACTTGCCAGAATACTCAGACCCTGCTGGAGATGCATAATACCTGTCTTGACCTGAGCCATATCTTCTAAATGGTTCCCTTTTCCCCTCTAATTCCCTGTCTAATTTCCTAAAATAATGCATCTTAGGTTTATCATCTGTCTTATAATAAAAACCTGATGAACTCCTCCTACTGGAGAAAAATCTGTCTGTTTTATCATATTTTTCAAATTTGCTAGTACTTGCCTGAGTTCTGGAGCTACTATAGTAATCTCTTGAATCTTCAGACCTACCTCCGAAAGTGTCTTCATCCTCAGCTGAAGTCCTCGATAGAGAACAGTGTCTTTCTCTCTCTCTTACCTCTGTTTTCGGATACACTAAGCTGTCCTGCCTTTCCAGCAGTTTTTCCACTTCAAACCTTTGGTTAAGGAAGGAAGCAGAGGTATCAGCTGGAGGCGAATACCACTCCTCTTTCCTAGCCTGATCTTTGTAATGTGAAGATCTAGATGAGTGCTTTTTGGAGCTGCGGGAAGACTCAGATTTACTTCGATGCTTTTTCTTGCGTTTTTTGTGATCAGAAGAGGAAGAAGAGGAAGAAACTGATACATCTGATGAAGAGTCGCTTGAGGATGAGGAGGAGGAGGAAGAGGATGAGGAAGAGGAGGAGGAAGTTGATCTTTTCCTTTTCTTTTTCAACCTAAAAATATAATTAACTTATTAAATAATCTTCAGCATCAGGGTAATATTATACACTCAAGGCAAAAGTATGCTCTCCAGAGTCTGGCTGAAACTGGACTTGAAAAGAAGCTGGGCTTGACCTGGCAAGACATGACTTCAAATGCCATTTCTATATGAAGAGAAATTATATTAAATCCACAGAACACTTCTATCATAAAGGTCATATTCCCCAGTTTAATATCCCGTCGCATTTCATAAATATTTTTAGTCAACTTCTCTTCCACATATTTTTCTAGCAGAAGCCAGAAACATTAAAGAACATTGTTCATAAAAAAATGCTGGAGAAAAACTTACATTTCTACTTTGCTTACTCTTAGACAATCTGTTTAGAAATTAATTGTTCATGGTCTTATCTGCACTTACTGCCATTTCTTCTTTGAATCCATAGGACTATTTCCATGGTTATGGGCAAGATGATATAATTAGGATTTCAGACTATAATTCGGATTTCAGGTTATGGAGAAGATGATATAATTAGGATTTCAGACTTAGTGACAGAACTTACTAATTCCTGACATTAGAACTTATTTATGTCACCAATGTAGGTAAAAAGAATTGGGCCAAGAAAACAGCAGACAGTCATTAAATGGGGGTGCCTTGAGCATCAGGCTTTGGCTGTTTTTTAATTACCAGAAAATTCCAGCACTTGCAATGGGTCCTTTATCTTGAAATAACAGTTCTTATACTTACTGCTTTGGCATGAGTTTGAGAGGGCTTTTGGGCTTTTTTTTTTTTTTTCCCCTCTCTCTCTTTCTCCTAATTAAAAATATTCATGCTCTGGCACAATAGATTGAAGAATCAGAACACTGAATATAACGAGGTTACCTTTTCTCTTCTTTTAAGAGCTTACGCAATTTTTCTGCACTTGTTTCTACTTTCTTTTCTTTCTGTCTCTCTTCTTTTGCAGCTTGCTTCTCCCTCATTTCCAAAGATTTCTTTTTTGAACCCAGATATAAAAAAAAGTCACATTAAAAGTAAACGTTACACCAGTATTTTCCCCATATCCCCAACCCCATTCAAATATATAATTACACCGGAGATATTTTACCAGGATTCCCAGATTGAGAATTAATATTATTCAGGAGTTTGGCATTGGCCATTGCGATAATCAGGTTCACATTAAGGACCATATTGCAGTTTTTATCCCATTAAAAGATTTGACCAGCCATTGCAGTGGTACCCGTGATCCAGTACACCACGAAGCACACAGCCCAAAAGGTAGAGATAGCAAATGCAAGAAAAACAATGTTAGCAATATGAAAAGGAAAAAAAAAAAAAAAAAAAAAAGAGAGATAGAGAAAGAGAGAGAAAGGTTTGTGGGAGAGAAAACATCATTATTGTACCACACGAGTAAAATATTTTGGAACCCATTTTGAAGTGTAGTCAAATTGGCCACGTTTGAATACAAACCATTTCGCAATAATTTCACAGACCAGTTTGATGCATAGTTTACACAAGAAATCATGTTCCAGAGGTTTGTTGATGATGAGCAGCACCGGATGTCAGATGCAGCAACAACGGTCCAATTCGGAAGAAAATGCATTGGAGAAAAACACATAATCAGTATTACAGGAAAACACTTAATTATGCTTCAGCCATAATGCTATGCAGATCAACGAACAATAGTTCAAGTGATCATGTTTCTTAGCTGCTGCATCAACAAGCATCGTGCCAGAATAATGCTAAAGGTCAGTAACTTATCACCTGCCTGCTGAGAATATTTATTTTAACCAAGACTTTGAGACTTATTACTAAAGCAGTCAGACTTCCTTCTTAATATTGCCATAGAGTAGTTCAGTTTAAATTAAGGATTGTCATATATCGCCTCTTCCCCCTTCTTTCAACACTACCTGTGAACATTATGGCTCCACCAAGAGATTGATTAAGACCTCTTGATTAAGACCTGTTAACATCTATCTATGTCTATTTATTTTCTTAAACACAGAAGCCTGTGCTTCAGTGCTTATATTCTGGTTTTATTTTTCTATGAAAGACAAAAAGAGTAAATGAGATAGAAGAAAGATAAAAGCAACTAACAAAGACCAGCATAGCAACCCAGCAGGGCTCACTTGGGAAACATGTTGAACAGAAGTGAAAACATAGTGACAACATCACAAAAGCACAATTGGATCCATAGAACACAGACAACTGAAAACCCACACACCAGAGAAGAAAACGAGACCCAAACTTTTTCCAACCTTTCACCTCTCTCACTCACTCCTTTCATTTAAATTTTAAATATTGATCAGCTACTAATTTTTTCTGTCACATAACTGTCCTGTGAGTTTATTTTCCTTGATGTTATTCTGTCTTTTTCTGATTATTCCAAATTACAATCATCTTGCTGCTGATAGAGTTTGCAACTATTTGGCATGCCCAAGAGTTTATACTTTGTGGTCTGTACTCAATTCTAATTCGAGATTATTAGCCATGCCCATGTGGTGGAGTACCCTGATCCCAAGCCTGGCTGAGAAGGTTAATGACTTTTGTTCCTTCCCTGCTGGACATTTCTTTACTGTCTTGTTCAGAACAAGAAGTCATTCATAGGTACATTACTTCTGGTAGGTATAGCCATAATGCTTACCATAAAACATTGACTGTGGAGTGGGGAAGCAGAGAATAAGACTAATCAGTAACTTATTACTCTCTGTTCAAAACATTTAGTATGATCTAAAATGGTTACTTATTGTAATTGAGAGAATTAAATGAAGAGAAAGTAAAGAATCACCTGCATGTGCTTACGGAGCTTCACTAAGGCCTCTTCTGCTTCCTGGAAAGTCTCATCCAAACTTAAGGCTTTTTTATAGTAACCCTCAGCATTTACTAGTTTCTCCTCCTCTTCCAACCTAACATTAAAATTGTAAGTTTTATAAACATGTAAGCCAGAGAATTTATTCTTCTTTTCTTTCTTGCTCCCTCTAATATCCAATCTGTCATCTCAGCACACCTCAGTAAAGAAATAAAATAATATTCCCAACAAATTATTTTCTCCTAATCATCAAGCATGTTCAGAATTTCAGCTCCAGTTTAAAAAAAAAAAAGCCAAACAAACAAACAAAAAAAGCATCTCTTCTTAACACGGGATTCAAAAGAAACCTGTTCCCTGAATATTAGTTTGAAAGTACTTTTGTTTTGTAGGTATCATAAATATTTCAGAAAAGTAACAATACAATTTAGTTACTTTCTAAAAATAATCTCCTTTAATATATTGAAATGTCTCACAAACTGTACATAAGCCTGACAGGATATCACCATAAAAATAGCAAAGAATATATCTCAACTGTTTTGTAAGGTTTTTAACTGGGACAGAGGAAGAAGTGCAAGCCTCCTCCACAAGGTTTTATTTCCAAGACAGACTTCATTTTCTACCAAAAGCCAAGAAGGAAAGATGCCGTCCCCTAACTAGGACTATATAGGCAAAATACTAGACAAATCATTAACTGAAAAAAAAAATCCAGTTTAACACTTACTGTCCGCCTCTCTCCACAAGTGTCTGACAGAGGTATTTTCTTGCATTTCTGTGGGTGGGACAGTTTTCTAATGCAATTTCAAAATCATCTATGGCTTTATTTAGACTTCCTTTGGTTGCATACCTAGAAGAAGAAAAGAGTTACAAAGTTTAACAAAGTTACTCTTCCACAAAGCCAAAATAGAAACAAGGAAACAAGGATACTTACAGAGCTCCGCGGGCTACCAAAGCTTCCACATTCTGGGCATCGATTTCCAAGGCCTTGTTGTACTCATTCATAGCTTCCACATGGCGCCCAACCTTAAAATAATCAACTCCAGCCTTCACACTGGAGAAAAATATTTAGAACCTATTACATACAGATAGGCCAAGCAGATTCCATAGCATTACTAATTTGGAAACTATGGCTCTGTGTGCTTAAGATGAGCTTGTTATATCAATGCCACGTGCACTTCACTGCACAGCAACATAATATGAAGTGGGAGGCACTCAAGAGCACTTCCTCAGACACTGCCACCACAGGACACTTCATTTGCAGCCTAGGGCTGCTTTCAAGCAAGTCTTCCCGGCTATATCCAGAGCCTGTACGTACTGGCAAAAAAATACCTCAGAAGATATTTTTTTTTCTAAGAAATATCAACTATAAGATAATCTGGGAATAAGCATTGACAAGAACATGAAGTTTTACATACCATTTCAAAGCCCAAGATTCAGACTGTCTTTTCCTCAATGCAGGTGCAAAATCTTCTTCACTGAAATTTTTCCTTTAAAGTGAGAAAAATTTTCATAAGCACAAATGAACAAAAACTCAAGTTGCCTCAAAATCTTTAAAAACAGACTTAAAAGCTGTATTATTTATACAATGTCTTCCTGTTCTCCAGCTGAGAATATCCTTTTACATTTCCAAAACAGTTCTTGCCAGCCCATTCTAAGGTTCTGAACTGAGCTGATACAGCTGCAGCACATGTAACAATACACCACATTCGCGCCTGCTTGGGGGCATAATATTTAAGGGCTCATAATATCAGTAGCTACAGATGTTTGAAGCTATATTCACCGAAACCTCAGATCTATTATTAAACGTTTTGAATAAACTCACATTCCAACCCAAAGATGTTAACAGCTTCCTGAAGTGATCAGTATCAAATCCAAGTTGTTGCATAAGACATCTTGCTTTTATAAAGTAAAAAAAAACCTACATTTAAATTTCTTACGCTAGAGTGGTTAAACACTTAAAGACATGGAAGGCTGCAGTCAGGCAAAACAGAACTAAGTTTCAAGTATCAGCTGTCCAGAAAGTTTTTTTTAACATAAACTTCCTAAAACAAGTCCATGTCAACAGAACAGAATAACCTCCACAAAATTATAGGATCAATGTAAAAATCACTTACATTTGAAGACCTCTCATCAAAGATGGTGGGTTTGTTTCACTTAATCCTAGTTTTTCTGCTAAATATTCAACTACTGATGGATTAGCAAATCCCGGAGATCGATGCAAAACCTCTTCATATGTCTCTAACGAATTGGCAACTTCCAAGCTTCGCCTTAAAGAAAGCACCAGTGCTTACAATCACAATCTCATTTTCCTGCTATACATCCAATTTTATGATGCTTCTGTTCAGAGCAAGCAGGAGTGTACTGATACTTATGACTAGTAAGCAAACACATTATGTAATGGCTGGTCTCTCTTAACACAATGAAAAATATCTCAAGTTTTGATTTAGAGGACACAACCACACTCTGTTTTTTGCTACTGTTACCTTTTGGGAAACATTCTTAAAAAACACATATCCAGAAACACCTATGCTAAAGAGATGAAAAATGAACATAGTACATTACCATCTAACTACATCACACACAAACCTAACAAATTTAAAGGATAGTCTGCCAAAGACGTCGTTCAGACACAATGAACACACTAAGTAGAGCTGAACAATAAATTCTTACCTGTAATGTAATGGAAAATCATCAGAGGTAATTACTCCCAGTTTTGTACTACAAAGACTGGGTGGAAGAGCCGAGCTGTAAAGCGATACCGTGAGCTTCTGATGGTAACGATCAACATCCTTGACTGCAGCTATAACAGCAGCGAAAATTAAGATAAAACAGAAGAATTATCTCCAAAATGAAACAAACAGATTCCTGAACCAATTTCTGTGGCTGCTTGCCTTGAATAAGATCTCCAGCCTGACAATATGATAAAGGATCTCCATGGTTGCTCTGAGAAGGCACATCTCTCAAGGGACAAAGGGCCTGCAATGGAAAACAGTAAGATTACAATAAAAAACATGAGTAGTTATAAAACCAAATAAGCTGCATGATAAAACTTGTCCCCTTTTTGCTTTCCACTCAGGATTCATCTGCACGACCATCTTTTAACATGCAAAGTCACCTTAAAATACACAGATATACAAAATTTTAAATGCAGAAGCAGTTATCAGCCACCACAGTAAAACATGCAATATCATTGCCGAAGCCAATTTCCGTCAGTCTTTATAGTTACATGGTCAAAAGAATTTAAATAATTTCTAGAGTACTTTTCTTCTTTCAAGAAGAAACTAGATGAGTATCTGTTGAATCACAGTTTGCAGCCAAAATCAGGTAATAATGACATAGTAAAAAAATAGCATGGTTTGGTTCAAATTAAAGTTTACACACTCATAAGTAGATGAACTTTTCCATGCACAGTTAGCACATTCTGAGAATAGGAAGGAGAGGAAGAACACCTCAGGATGCCTCAGCAGGGCATCATGTTGTCAAAACAAGACTGCCCCAGAGCTCAGTTCTAATTTTACCCCTGCCATTCCATTAAGAGATGCGAAATTCAGCCAGTCAAAGAAAAACACTACTGCTCTACAGTAAGGTACTGTTAGTCACAGCCAGCTTACAGTGATTTCTATATCTGCGATCTCCCGTATGACACCGCTTCCCAGGCAAATCAACACCATGAAAAAGCCAAATTCGCGGATAGAAGTGATCCTCCCGATCACGATATCGCCGCGCTCGATGTCTCGAAAGAAGAGCTCTCTCCTGTCTTCCTGGGGAACCTCCATGAAGCGCTCCAGGGGTGGCATCACAGCGTAGTACTCTGCAACACACGAGGCACCAACACGTCTGCAACCCGTTTGCCACCGCCCGCAGGTACGTGCGCCCCCGGGCCGCCTGCACCCATCCCGGGCACGCAGCGCTCCCCGCACGCCTCTACCTTCGTTCTCCTCGATGGTGTCGGCCATGGGCCCGTTGGGTTTCCACGACTGGGCAAAGAGCAGATCCGCCTTCCTGGCGATGAAGCGCTGGATCTCGGCCTCGGTGCTCGGCCTCTCCTTCCTTGGGGCAGAGGAAGGGTCAGAGCGGCCCCGGCGCCGCGCCCGCCGCCCCGAAGCG